TCCACTACGCATGGAGTTAATGATTGGACTTTGGTAGGGATCAATAGACTCCTGTGAAGCTCAAAGTAAAAGTAGACGAGGTGTCATTTTTTTTTAGTCAGAATGTGTCGCAGTTCAATGCGGTGAAGTAAGGGATGTTTTCATTTCAACATTGTGGAAAAACACTAGAAAAATAAAAATGTAAAATTATGAAAAATTTCCAACTTGAACCAAGTCCCTACCCCTTAAAGTAAAAATGTGGTGGTGGACAAAACCCCCCTCTCCATCCCCGACCTGAACCCAGTTCCATCACCAAGACTCCCTTTGCTTCTTGACCCTGCACCTTCCATGTCGTACTACGTTTTTTTTTTACCCACTTCTTCTCCTTCGAGTGAACCATGTGCCTCCTTTTTCCTCCCTACCCAAACCAAACTAAACAAAATTAAGTCTTATGTCTCAATCATTTTAGGTCGACTATATAAGTCCGTCTTTGCCATTCATTTCGCTCATGTGCTATACGCTCATTTAAGTTAAGTATTTTCATTTCATTTCTTATTATTTTGTTCAATGTTAATTTAGTTCTACTCCTAATCGAGAAATTCTATCACTTTACTGGTGCCTCTCCCTTGAATATGACCAAAGTATCTTAAAATATATTCGCTTTCAACTTGTTCTTCCATTGTACCCCACCCCAACCTAAATCCAATCCCCTCACGAGTGTCCCATTCGCTCTGCATTGCTCCCCCGGCCAACCACCATCACCTAGATTGAAACCTGCCACGACCAAATCCACCCTCCAACTGGCACATAATGTAGGGGTTTGTGAGAGTGTGTGTGTGTTAAAGTGTCTATGTGGAGAGAGGATAGTGAGAACTGGTGCCTTTGGGGGGGTGGGGGGAAATAATGGTGGGGTGGAGGGTTTGACCTGGGTGATGGGTGGCCACCCACTACTGGCATTTCCTCTTCTCTCTCCCTCAGTTTTGATTTTGACCAAATATAACAAGAAGACAAAGGTGGTAATATGGTAGAATCGACATATGCCAATTGCTGTGTCAACCAACTAAATTTGAATAGGGTTAATCGTCATTTCCGAAACCTCAGGGGATGTAATCTATCTATGCTTTACCTCAAGGGTAGTTTATTTGATTTATTCTTTTTTATTTTTAACCATATTGAGGTAAAATTCAAGTAACGAGTCAATGTGTGTATGGTTGCACATAATGCAAGGAGAATTTTGTAACTGCCAATGAAACTCCATCAAGATATATCAATATTTGAACTCATTACTGTCTGAATCAAATCAAATATAATAGATAACAGCTGACAAAGCCCACTTTGTTAATGTCTGTATGTTGGAAATTTTAATCACTTCATTCTCGTTATATATGCTAGTCATTTTGGATTTTAAATGACTTTTTTATATTATGATGAATCCTTTTTTTCTTTCTGAGCTTTTAGCCTTTAAGTAATTTTTTTTTACTTGAGAACTTTTTTCTTACAGGGAGAACAAAAATCTCACCGGCACAGCTCGTTATGCAAGCGTTAATACCCACCTTGGTGTTGGTGAGTGAACTCAACTGATTTCAACTTTTAGTGTTAGCTAAAGATGGCTCATATGCTTGATCGTACGCGGTTGATATTTCTCTGGCTTTTGCGTTGCATTTATTTGTAATTTGGTGACGTGCAGAACAAAGCAGACGGGATGATCTACAATCTCTTGGTTACGTCCTTATGTATTTTCTGAGGGGAAGGTAGAGCATATGATCAATTGCCTTTCTTGACATATTTTTCGTTTCAGCATTTTGATTACTACGTTGTTTATTTAATTTCTTTGCTTTAGCCTTCCCTGGCAGGGTTTTGAAAGCTGGCACTAAAAAGCAGAAATATGACAAAAATCAGTGAAAAGAAGATGCTTACACCCATAGAGGTATTCTTACTCCTCCTAATGTCTCTGTTCCCATACTTATTCCGGATGATTGAATTTTTAGACAAGATGGTAACGGGATAATTGTTGGATAAGTCTGATGTCTTTACTGTGGCATGCCCTGCATTTGTTATTAGATTGAAATAGAGCACACACCATAGATAACTCCTGTTAACTGAAGTTGTGAACGTTTGTTCACAGATGCTCTGCAAATCTCATCCTTCAGAATTCATATCATACTTTCATTATTGTCAATCATTGCGGTTTGATGACAAACCGGATTATTCGTACCTGAAGAGGCTTTTTCGGGACCTGTTTATTCGAGAAGGTGAAATATAATCTTCAATATCTGATTCTTGAAATTGTTAGCTTTCCTTTTCTTTTATCTTGTCATTTTCTTTTATATAAATTTGCCTTAAGTTGATCTCGTTTGCAACCTTGGGCTGTCTTATGTATGTAGTTTTACACATGTTTTAACCCTTCTACTTTGTATAGGTTATCAGTTTGATTATATATTTGACTGGACTATATTAAAGTATCCGCAAGTGGGCTCCAGTTCCAGAGGACGGGTCAGTATTTTTAACTCGGTGGCAATTATTCCCATGTTGTCTTCAATAAATGTCATATCTTATATTTGTTGTCTATTTTCAGCAGCCCAATGGAAAATTAGCTTTGAACCCAGGACCATCTGTGGAAAATACAGAGAAGACCCCAGGTCTGTGTCTTATCCCAGCAAGGTTTGGCTATTAGTTGCAATACAAATTCTGTCATTTAAATAAGTTGATTACTTTTGATCCAAAAAAAAAATAATAATAAGTTGATTACATATAAAGTTGTTCAAGATTTCATAAGGTTTTTGGGCTTAGGAGTACTTGCTTTGGTTCTAGGTTTAACTTCTCGTGCATGAGTATAATTAACTTGTAAGAACTCCCAAAACTTGGTATTCCCCTCTCTGACGTTTTGACCAGTACGTTGTGCCAGACTCTTTTTTTGTTCACGACTTTTCGTTCTTCATTTCCTTTTTTAGGTGGTGTATTTTTTTTTTTGGTTGCATGCCCTTTATTTTTTTTTTGGGGGGGGGGGGGTGGTGGCTGTAGAATTCTCTGCCATCTGGTTATTTTTGGGACAAATTGAGTTAGGCTTACAAGATTGACTATTTTATGTGGGCTGTGCACCCTTTTTTTTTTTGTTAAAAAAGAAGGGGGGGGGGGGGGTGGCTGTAGAATTCTCGGCCATCTGGTTATTTTTGGGACAAATTGATTTAGGCTGAGAATACTGATTATATTATGTGCAATGATGTATGTCATTTAGTGAAGCAAGAGTTTCGAGATAGATTCTCTGGTGCAGTTGGGGCATTTGCCAGAAGGAGTGGCTCTGGTGGTGGCTTGCATGGGGATCACTCGAGGCACAGGCCTTCAGAAGATATACCATCATCAAAGGAAGTGGTTAGTAGCAATGACGACAATTGTCTGCTTTCCTTGTACTCCCAATTCTTGTCTCTGCTACTCTATTTATATAGGTTACTCTGATTTTTAAACCGGTCAATACCCTCGTAAATTTTCAGCGAGTTGATTCTCAAAGAGGTCGCATCTCTAGGCCCAGCAGTGCCTCAAAGAGAGCTGTTGTGTCAAGCAGCCGGCCAAGTTCCTCTGGTGAACCTAGTGAAAATAGACCTAGTCGTCTGGGCTCCAGCAGTGGTCGGTTGTCCACTTCCCAAAGGATCCAACCTGGGATCGAGTCCAAATCATCATCATTCACTCGAGCTGCAGCCACAAGAGGCGAGCGTGATGATACTCTTCGAAGCTTCGAGCTACTAACCATTGGCACGGGGAGGAGGAAATAAGGGGGTCTGCTTATATCGGGACAGATTCCTCTCTGGCACTTTTATCGATTGCAACGCCCTATTTCTCTTAGCTCAGATCGCTATTATACACCATCATCTCTCCTTAGAACATGCTAAAAACTTTGTTCCTTGGTGGTTCTTGCTAAAGGAAGAAATCAAATATCTCTCTTACAGTAAAAAAAATTGCTTATATTCTGAAACGAGGTAATCGTAATAAAATACTCTTAGATTTGAAACCATGGCCTGTGATTTGTGGGTGTGTACTCTGTGATTTGTGGATGTGTAGTACTCGGTTGCTGATGGGAATCAGTAAAAGATATTATAGCTTCATAGTATGCTTGAGTTCGAAAATCAATCTTTTAAAATGTGGTAAGATTGTTTAGTGTCAATATGTACAGAATGTCGATCTAGGACCAAGTAGGGTCAATTTTGAATTTCGAGATGAATCTTCTTCTACCCAAGAAAGTGAAGGTGTTGCATTAAATTCTAAGATCGAAGGAGGAGTTAAATTTGAGTCACATCGATTAGGAGAAGAGGACATAGCTTATCTTTCTCAAAAATTTAACAAATATTTTAAGGTAAGTGGGGTCAAGTGTTCAAGGTCGAAAGGAAATTCAAGTAGACCTAGACCTCATAGAAAGGGAAAAGAAAGTAGGGGTAGAGCTTCTCGACATGAGGTTGAGAGGAACGGCAAGGTCTCAAATGCTACGAGTGTCAAGGTTTGAATATGTAGCTACGAAATGTCCTAGTGGTAAAAAGGACATGCCCAAGGAGAAGAGGAAATCCTTAAAGGCCAAAGTGAGTCCATTACAAGTGCTAACTCCTCTTTGTTAAGTGATAGAAGAAAATTTCGTGGCCTTTGTAGGTTCGCACTTCCCACTCCCACCCCCTAAAACAAAAAAAAAAAAAAAAGGAAAAACTTTTAATAATAAAGATGAGGAAGTTGAGTTTAGTCCCACTACAGATGTAGATGACTTAGTGGTAGAAGTCTTTACTAGTAAGGATGAGACCGAGTGTTGAAGACCTCAAAGATGTTTATAACAAGTTTTTATGAGCAGTGTCTAAAATAAGCAGAGATGTTACTTTCATTGAGCACGAGACTCTAAACGAGTGAAGATGAACAAAAAGAACTATATGAGGACTTAGTTTAGTCCAAGGCTCATTTTGTTGGGTTCAAGGAGGAGAAAAAGTCCCTCCATGACAAGGTGAGCTTCCTTGAGAGAGAGCACAAAGGGCTTTTAGAGTCTAAGAAGAGTCTTGAGTTTAAGATTGTTAAACTTGATATAGACCTGCATGAGTTATAAGAGCTCTCAAAAAAACTTTCCCAAAGTACCGAAAAGCTGGATAAAATGTTGGTTATAGAGAAAAGTGTTGGTGACAAAAGAGGATTAAGTTTCAACAAATGAACACAACACCTCTATTTCTTCCAAGATTGTGTTTATAAAGGATGATTTCAACCCTTCACCCACTGAAGTGAGCACAAGTCTTAAAAAGACTAGTAACAGTGAGGGTAAGCTAGAAAAGAAGCCAGTTAAGAAGAAACCCAAAACCAAATTATTTGTGTATTTTACTTGTGGTGAGCATGGTCACTATAGTGCACATTGCATTTGTGATGCCCCAAAATTCGGGGGCCTTTTCTCAGCTTTTTGATCACCCATCAACCCGCAGAAGTACTTGTGAATGACATGTAACCCAACACCATGTTATCACATCCCCTTCATTGGGATTGTAACCAAAATAGAGTTTGAACAAAGTCTCCCTTGTACCAGAGTACTCTCAAGCGCATAACCTGTGCAGATATCGACCACTTGACCTTTCCAAAGTGCATCGCCATTAATTAGAACTTAATGTTTTACCAATTACATCATCCCAACAAGAGAGCTCAAGATTTGAAGGCTTGACAGAGTTATATTTAAATGAAAATTTTTGGAAGAGGTACTTGTACCTTGTACACGTGGTACCGGTACCTGAGCTTTTTGTCTGCCAAGTCCCTTCTATTTGTTAGGTACCTGTACTCAATCACATATATATCAGTACTTAATTACTTAGGTACCGGTAACTGAGCCCACTGTCCATTGAGATACCTGTACTTGAAGCTTTGGTAACAACGTGGTATCGGTACTTAGTCACATAGGTACTAGTACCTAGGCCTAGATTTTGCCCAATTCTTTTCAATCTTCAACTTTTAACCATCCAATCTCATTCTGAGTTTATTCAAACTCATATAAAATCTAAATATACTCAAAATATAGTTCATAAGAGTCCATTACATGTCCCCTTAATACAATTTACAAGTTTAAAATAATTTACACAGTTGATTTGCAAAAATATAATTTAAATGCCACAAATTGGCTTCTTCATCAACAAGGGCCCAAGTGAGGGCCGTCTACGGGTGTTTGTTCCGCACCTGAAATGTTGTTCCCATAAAGGGTGAGTCACGCTTAATAGAGTATTTCTTAAATAGGCTTATACATCTCTAATCATCAGTCAATTTAATCAGAATCTTCTAAATCAAGAACATCAGTGAACCGATTAATTTTCTGTCGCACATATCTTGAAAGCATGAGAATGGAATAAGATGATGTCTCAGGGTAATTCTTACTCTGTCCATACTTAATTTAGTCGAGACGATCTAATGCTCAACCTTAAATTGGTTTGGCACATTGATTAAATTCTCTCATATGTAGGGGTGTTCACTCTGCCTTACGGGTATAAAATTTAGTTTTTCGTCTTTTTACCTGATACTTTGCGGAAGAATTTTTTTATGGCCTACCTTACCTGATCAGATGTGGTATTCCTACCCAACTTCCTACCGGATTAATAGGGTAGGAAGTACGATAAACACTTTTGTAGCTATTAATTTTTAGATCATTTTAACAATTCAATTAAATAACATGCACCGATTTAACAACACAATAAATCAATAGCACTAAAACCTAAAACAACTACAACAACAATTTTTTTTATGTTAACTGGATAAGTTTTGAAAGCTTTAAAAAAAAAATAGAGAAGGTTTGAATGATGCTAAAAAAAAATAGAGAAGGCCTGAACGATGCTTGAAAGTTAGGGTTTTGAGGTTCATTAACTTGATGCTTAAAAAAAGAAAATCAGATCTGTAGATGAAGGCCTGAACGATGAAGGCCACCAGATTGCGCCCAAATAGAGAAAGAGAGAGAGTACATAGGGAGGTTGGGACTGAACGATGAAGGCCTGAGCTATAGATGTAGAGGCTTGAACGATGAAAGCCGATGGAGGCAAGAGGAGAAGAGTGGAGTGAGGCACTCGCTTAGTCAGTAGATGATAAGGTTGGTTAGTGTAAGGGGTAGAAATCGTTACGAATCTCATCCCTCCACTTGAAGGATTCCGGCTGACCTGACGGCACCGAGCCCCAGTAGCCTTTACCTCTCTTCACTAATAGGACCCTTTCCTAAGGCAATCCCACATCGGAAGAGAGTCGTCTTCCCCCCTGCCATATAAGTGAACACTTCCTATGGAGGAGGTACCCACTAGCGACCTGATCAGGTGCTTAGTTGATGGAACATTTTCAGAATACTCCAAGATGAAGACACGTGTCCTTGGTTTCACTGTTCCTTGTTATCGAGATCACGTACCCATCGGGTCACAAGTCCCCTCTCCCCCCGAGGTGCTGATCATAGAGATCGATCGGCATCCCAGTACTTTTTATGTACCGACACGTACCCTCGGTCTGATATGGTTCATCGGTCGCTAGGCTCTTCCCTCGGTTCCGAGATGTACCTCTTCCTCGGTACCGAGATGTACCCCCCTCGTCCAGGATGCTGTTCTCTGCTCCAGCAGAGACTATTAATGTACAGGTCACTAGCCTAGGCTAGGCTAGGTTAGCTATCATGACTTCGTCTTACACAATTGGTGTCAGAAGGCATAGGAAGGCAGGGGCCACAGCCAATGGAGAATGGACGCGTGGCATATTGTGTCACATCGGAGACAGAAAGACCGCATGCCCTTGCTGACACACGACTTGGAAAAGCAAGTATTTAGTTACGTCATTCCCTTGATGAGACTGCATTCAATGTAGTAAGGCTCGGAATTGAAAGGCAATAAATGCCTCTAAGGCTGGGCATTTATTGCGTCCTCCCCGAGGGGAGCTCATTGAACAGTCGGCAGCCCGATGACACAGTATTGATTGCTCGGGATCCCGAGCAGTTAAAAGAGAAGACATTCCCCATCAGAATCAGTACGCACACTGCCTGTACTTAATAATCACCTACTGACTACACTAACAACAATCATGAAATTTTGAGGTATAAATACTCCTCGCAAAAGGCAAGATGGTATGCAACAAAAAATCTTTGCTATAATACATACTCAGTGTTTTCTTCTTCCTCTCTCTCTCTCAAAGACTGACTTGATCGTCAGAGGGGATACGCCGGAAAACACTCCGGCGCCCTTCTAACTTGTTCTTCTTTGTTCCAGGAACCTTTCTTCAGCCTTACTGGATCGTTCCTTTGATCCACGAGGGTCTCCCATTACCGTTTCAGGTTACTACAGGATCTCACAGGCTGTTCCAAGCAACGTGGTTGACCACTCCACCGATTCACTCGAGTTCACCATGGGAGAGATCTGTTCTCGTTTTTATATTGTGCAAGATCCAGCACACACAGTTAGCAATTAGGATTTTTTTTAGTTTATATATAAATTAATTAATTAATTAATTAATGCGGGCAAGGTAGGGTAGGAATGCATATATTGATGGGTATTTCGTATTCCTACCCGATTTAATCGAAAAATCAAAAACTCTTCGGCATTCCTACCCAATTTTTGCGGTTAGCCGTTCACTAGGGTAGGGTCGGGTAAGATAAGAAATTGCGGACAATCGAAAATTTCAACACCCCTACTCATATGCATGGATCGATCGCATTTTACATATCTACCGAGTCAATTTGCTCGTCGGCATTTAACAAATGAACTTTTTCCTCACAAAAGTTTTGCTTGATTACCTAAAATTTCTAATTTTCTTACAATATTTGCTTTTGCTATGATCAAAGAATGTATATCTTTTAGAAAAATACGTTACATACCCAAACTAAACCAAAAAGAGTTTTGCATCCATTTTTGAAAAATTTTGCAAAATCTAGAAAATTTTTTGCAAGACAAATATGGAACGTTTGCCGATCACAAGACGAATATGAAATGTTCCCTCTTCTCAACCTAAATTTAAGATTGTCCTCAATGTATCACATTATAATTTTATTTTTTTTTGAAAATTGCTAATAAGATCTGGAAGCGTGACAAATCCATAGTG